GGAGCTACTCAAACACTCCATCCATAGAATCCTCTATCGTCACCATGCCTTACTTTCTTTATTCTGAAATAATAACATCCACATAAAATTTGCATCTACGTCATGGCTGCCATTTATTGCACTATTTCTTGGTGCTGCACCTGCCTAAGAGTTTTACGAGAGTTAATACCAAGTGAGATAATCCAGTTAACACACTTAGCACCCTTTCAGGCACAAGTGTATGCTCTACACATCCCTGTTGTTCTCTTTCGCTATTGCTCTTAGCTGCTGGCATCCTTGGAAATGGATGGTATTTTGCACATTTTTGGAAACTCTGTCCCCCACTCTGCTTTACTTGTTACCTAGAACTGAAGCCTAGTTCAGTTGAATAGATCTTATACTGACAAACGGGAATTTTAAAAATCATGTCAATATTTGATAAGCAGTAAATTGCATATGTTTCTCAAAGTTCTAGCTAAAATTTCACTCCTTTTGTGAAACTGTGTATAATCTCTAGTAAATTCTCATCTATACTTTTCACAGATTATTTATTCCCAATTATTTATTGTATAATTTATTTTCAATTATTCTCACATTCAAATTTCTTATGCACATGAACTGTATCTCTTATGGGAATCAACCTCATTCCTGCTCTAAGTGAAGAGCTGTCTGGAATTCCTTCTTTTAAAACTTGGGAGAATTTCCAAAGAAAACTATAGTTAGAGGAATATGTCCTTTATTTCCTTCAAGGAAAAGCTCATCACATTGGGAATGGATCATGTGAAACAAGATGGCTCTGCAAATTAGAGGGTATATAATGCAGGCAGAATAGAACATACTTGTTAAAGTGTTGTCTTGAACTAACTACCTTGGGTGTCTTTCTCTCCCCTCTGAGAATTTTTTCATTTTTTTTCTGACTCATGCTCACATGCTTGTCTACTCAAATAAATAAGCATTTCCCTCTCAATCAACTCTGCTTTTCTTTTAAATAATTGGAATTTTAATGTAGGCCCCTCAGTTTTTACAAAAACCTTTGTTTATAGGTAATTGTGTTTTGGAGTGCAGATTTTATGAGTTGGAATCAGGCTCTAATTTATGAAATTAGTTATTCAAGCCATAGGTGCTAGGATTCTGTTTAGTATATTACAGATTCCTTAATTGTCTGGTGTGGGCTGTCTCTTGTGGTAGGAACTTCTAGAAGAATCAGGCTTAACTCCCTGCCTCAAGTGCTTAGAAGACTGAGGAGTTCAGGAGACAAGAGCATGAATTTCAGCTTCCCATGCACCAGGATTTGCATGCTGAACCACCACCCTACAATGAATCTGACATTCAACAGAGTTTTAATAGATATTAGCTATTATTATTTGGTAAGGAATAGAATTCTTGCAAAAATTTGCTAATGTGAATGCTTCAAAAAGGCAAGATGCCAATTTGATTTATTTTTAAAGTTCCATAAGCCCAGAACAGTGTCTTTTTCTTGGTATTTCTGCTGACCCCTTCCAGAGTGTGAAGTTATCACTGGAAGGTGGTTGTCCCACTGGGAACTACACTTCTCAACCATCTTGTATTTAGGTGTGATTGTGTGATTTGTTAATTCCAGCGGCATGTGAGTAGAAAGTTAAAAACAATTGTACATCCTCAAATATTTTTCCTTTATCTTGGATCAATGCAGAGAAGTATTTTTTAAGAGGATTCTGGGGGCCTGTGCTGCGGTGTAGCCAGTAAAGCCGTCACCTGCAGGGCAGCATCCCATGAGTGACGGTTCAAGTCTCGGCGCCTCAACTTCTGATACAGCTCTCTGCTATGGCCTAGAAAAGCAGTAGAAGATGGCCCAAGTCCTTGGGCCCTTGCACCCTTGTAGGAGACCCAGAGAAAGCTCCTGCCTTCGGATTGGCATAGCTCTGGCTCTTGCGGCCAATTGAAGTGTACCAGTGGATGGAAGACCTCTCTCTGCCTCTCCTCTCTCTGTGTAACTCTTTCAAATAAATAAATAAATGTCAAAAAAGAGGATTCTGGTTTATGAATACTTTTTTTTCTTAGACGTTTATTCATTTATTTAAAAGGAAGAGTTACAGAGAGGCAGATGTTTTCCATCTGCTGGTTCACTCCCCAAATGACTGCAACAGGTGGAGCTGGGCTCATCTGAAGCCAGGAACCTGGAGCTTCTTCTGGGTCTGCCACGCTGGAGCAGGGTCCCAAGGACTTGGACCATCCTACATGCCCTCCCAGGCTTTAGCAGAGAGCTGGATCAGAAGTGGAACAGCCAGGGTTTGAATTGGCACCCATGTGGGATGCTGACACTGCAGGCAGCAGCTTTACCCAATATGCCACAGTGCTGGCCACCTGGTTCCTGAATTCTGTGAATTATTTGCGTCATTCTGTTTCCATAAATGAAAATTAACCTTTAAGGTATTAGGCCACTGAAATTTAGGGATATTTACTTATTATGTCAACTTTGATTGCCTTCACTAATCCTGCTGTTCAACAAATTTGTTGAAGGAATAAATGAGCTACATAAGTAAATCAATCCCAAATACAATGCCTGTTAGTGCTTAGATATGGGTGTATATTAAACCCATCGATCTTATTTTATCAATTTGTCTGTGGTGTCACATCAAAACAGTTGCAGCCAATCAGAATTTAATGAGGCAGTGAAATGGAGTAGGTCTTAAGCAATATAGTGGCTTTTACTAAATATTTTTAAAAATACATAGAAGCACGTTGTAAACAAGTGAGCGAAGGAACAAAACACATAATAAAATGGAAGGAGAAGGCTCTCATGTATTTTTGGAATTGTTTATCTTAGTAGCAAATCAAGGAATGAAAAAGAAAGTGTTCATCTATGTTTTTGGTTCAGTCTACTTTTTTTGTGTGTTTTTAAAACAATATTAGGGATTGTACGATGAGGCCAAAAATTCCTTACTGAACTGAAAGAATTAGAAAAGGCTGCTAATAACTTTGTATTTAAAAGTATAATGTCTTCCAGTGAGTTATTTTTTGGCTAGTATATCTGAAATTGCTCATGAATACTGGATAACAATTTTTTTCTTTCCTTTTTCTCGTCTCTCTTTTTTTAAACTAAGAGAACTTAAACATGATATTAAAAAAACATTTTATCTCACAGTAAAAACGTCAGCCACATTTCAATTCCCTTTTAGGCTTCCCCTAAAAGGAATGACTTTTACGCATGACAATAGCCTTGTTTTTGTAAGTGGTTGGTAATATCTGCAAATGTGTAAAGCATTCATTTTCCAGGAGCTCTTTTCTCCCTGGTAACACACCGGGAAATATCAGAGTGTTGTTATTTGAATTCTTTCTTGTTCTCTGACTCCCAGATGAATTCAAATTCAGCTTCACAGTCAAATGAGTAGCCATTTAAAGCTCAGGTGTGTATTTCTTAAGATTCTCTCAAAGGATATATAGCGCTTATGTCTTTCCCAAAGAGAGCAGACTGGCTTTTAATTGGATCTTGCTTCTCCCAATAGATCATTATACTTCTACCCCAGGGCCATATATTACAAAGCTTCAGTATGAACTGGAACATGAAGCTTTTGTTTGGGCTTAGTACTTGAAGTTGAAGTTGTAGCAGCTGACACTAAGTCATTTTGGCAATCCCCCAATCAAAATTTTATTTAATTTCAGTCCCTCAAAAAATGAACATGCCTGTGCACTCACACACGCATGCACACACCCACATGTGCATGTGTAAATAACTCACATGTCAAAATTACATAAACCTTCAGATTATTATAAGCAGTATGTGTTATTCAGGAAATAAATTTTCAGTGGGACTAGTTCCTTATTTTCCTTCTCTCAACTCCACTTTGACCTTGTCAGATGGATAAAAAATGAAGCAGTGGAAAGTTTATATATGTATACCAAAGAGTTACTGACTCAGAAAGGGAACTTGGACATCCTCTTGTGACATCATGATCTTTGCATCAGAGAGTCAAGAAGGTGTAGAAGACACAGAAGTATACATGAGCAATTCTGTTGTTGATGTTCCTCTCATCTTAGAAACTGACAAGATAGTACGTAAAAGGAAACTGAAAAGACTGGGACCTAATTCAACAGCACTCAGTAACACAGCATGTGTTCCTTCGTTCTTTCTGGTTTAAGAATCCTTGTATATTTCCTGAGGTAAATCAAGACTGTGAAGATCAATGTTAAAAATATTGTGAAAGTATCCTTAATTATACTAAAGAGTGAAACTCATGCACTTTAAGATCTGTGTTGTGTTCTCACCTTGTACCCTACAAAGTGGACCTTTATAAATTATGAGTAGTCAAGACTAGTTTTTTGTTTGGGTTTTTATTTAATGTCTAGAAAATTTAGTTGATACGTATTCCAGATTTATATATCTGAGAAATCTGGATTTTTTTTTTTTGCTTAATCTTCTGGAGAGGGACCTAGATTTTGAATTAGTTACCAGGATAGAGAATATGTCCCTTGATCTCTCCATGTATGGTTTCTTCAGTTGAAACAATATGGGGGTGAAGTAAGTAATCTCTAGGCTAGTTAGAGTAATACTATTTTATAGTTCTATATTTCAAGTGCTATTTTATTTATATAAGACTGAAAGTTGTCAGTTAGCAAATATCCCTAAATTTCACAATTTTTATGTTATGATAGAATATTTGGATCACATAATCAATATACTCAGTACTGAAATCTTAGGCTTCAGTTTGTCCACTTCTTTTTATTTAATTATATTCCACTAAACTTATTTTTTCTTCATTTTTAAAAACCTCTGAATTGTATCAACACATTTAAAAAATGATTTATTTATTTGAAAGAATTAGGAAGACACACAGTGAGAGAGCTTCTATCCACTTTTTATTAACAGCTTCGTAGTTACTAAACTCAAAATCTTTGTTTTCTTCAATTTTTGGTTGTCCCTGATACTTACTCAACACCCAATTCTGTTAGATGTGTTTCTTTTTGAAGGATAATGCTTGTTTTCTATAGTACTGTTGCACAATTGGAAGAGACTTCATTTATTTATCAGTTCACAGATTTTTTAAAAAGATTTATTTATTTGAGAGGCAGAGTTACACAATGAGAGGAGAGAGAGAAGGGGAGGGGGAGAGAGAGAGAGGGAGGGAGGGAGGGAGGGAGGGAGTCTGTCTTCCATCCGCTGGTTCACTCCCCAGCAATGGCTGGAACTGGGCTGATCTGAAGCCAGGAGCCAGGAGCTTCTTCCAGGTCTCCCACATGGGTGCAAGGGCCCAAGGACTTGGGCCATCTTCTAATTCTTTCCCAGGCCATAGCAGAGAGCTGGATCAGAAGTGGAACAGCTGGGACTCGAACTGGCGCCCACATGGGCTTTACCCGCTATGCCACAGTGCCGGCCCTGGTTCACAGATTTTTTAGAATTGTCTTGAGTGCTTGAAGAAATACTCTCTCTCCTGGAAAAGATAGACAAGCAGATTCGCAAATAATTTCCAGGGATTCGAAGCCTTCATGAAGTTCACTCAAGGTCTTAGATTAAGAATCCTTTGAGAGGATTCCAAGATGGCTGAAAGCTGTGCTGATTTTGATGCGGGGAGGATAACAGAAGAAAAGCAGAGGAAGCACCTTCCTAGGGGAAAGCTGAAGAGAAATTTGCAGTGGAAATTCAACAGAAAGGAGAGAAGTGCCATGGAGCATTGTATGAGAGAAGACTGCAGCAGCCCTGTTGCTGGTGATATTGCCCGAGGGAGAACTTTGCTGACCACACTGACTTTGAATCCAGCCTGCAGCCCTCACCAGGGCCCTTGAAAAAAAAGCGTATTTCTTTCTCCCCGTCCCCTCACAAGTGCACCTGGTAACCATTAGGAAAAAAGTGCCATCTTAACACTAGTAGAGGCTGTGGTGGCTCTACTAGGTGATTTTATCAGAGGAAAAATTCAGTGTTCCCCACTGACTTTCAGTCTGGCCTGGTGGATTGACAGAGGGCTGGGCACTCACTTAGGACTGTGAGGCTCTTCCATCCTTCTACCCTGTCATAGTCCCTGGGACTGAAATTGCCCAGGCAGAGCACCTACAGTCAGCTGGCTCTGGGAAGACCTCTATTCTCTCTGTGAATGGGGCAGGCATCTGAGGCTGAGAGGGAATCCTCTGCACCCTGTGACTGTGGGAGCCTTTTGGGTTATGACCATGGGAATCTGTTGACAGCACAATAGGGCATGGGTTGTAGCTGGGTCTCTGGCCAATCACTGTCTGGCATCAGAGGCACAGAAATCCCTGATTGCCTGGGGTGGGTCATTGTAGAGGGTTCCATGCTCACATTGAAGACCATACAAATCATTTGTGTAGTTTGTGTCTGTGTGGGTGGGTGTTATAGACACTGTGGGCTAACACCTGGCACTGGTTATATTGGAGGGGATGATGTGAGGCTATGATTATGCCAACAGGCATGATCATATCCTCCCCCCTGCAGACAATAGAGATCTACCCCCCCCCCCAACTTGGGTGTTACCTTAGACGCTCACCTCACCCTTCGGCACTGACCAGAGTTCCCTGGCCCCACTGAGTACATACCTCTGGATATTCACTGAAGGAGTAGATACTCCATTAAGCCACAGAGCCATAGTTGAAAGATAAAAGCCATCAGAGGAGAAAGCCAACAACTGTTTCCACAAATGTCTAAATGTAAGTGCAGAAATGGAAGAAACAAGAACAAGGAAGATGATAAAATTCCTGAAAAGGAAGACAGCCTTCATTATTAGAGTGTGAAGATGAAGAGATTGATGAAATGCCTGAAAATGAATTCAAAAGAATGATCATAAGGTTATTCAGAAATTGAGATAAAGAAATCCACATATGATATTGATGAAAATTTTGTTGAGAAATAGATGTATTAAAGAGACATCAAACTGAAATATTATAAATGAAGAACTCAATATGTCAAATAGAAAATATAGGAAATGAAGACTTGATAAAGCAGAAGAAACACTATCTGAGTTAGAAGACACATCCTTGTAAACATCTCAGACAAAAATAAATTAGAAAAACAGAAAATAACATTCAAGAGTTACAGGATACTATCAAATGATCAAACATACATGTCTTAGGAATTCCTGAAAGCTTGGAAGGAGAGAATGGATTAGAAGGCCTATGCAACAAAATAATACCAGAAAATTTCCTTAATTTGAAGAAAGAAAGGGACATCCACATACAGGAAGCACATAGAACTCCTATTAGATGTGAACAGAAAACCACAACACATTATAAGGAAACATTCAACAGTGAAGCACACATAAAAGACTCTAAAATGTACATGAAAGAAATGCCAGATTACCTTCATAATATTCCCAACTTGACTAACAGCTAATTTCTCATTCCTCATCAGAAACCCAAAAGGCTAGGAGAAAATGGAGACACATGATACAAGTCTAAAAATAAAAGATTGGGGGTTGGTGCTGTGGTGTGGTGGGTAGGGCTGCCACCTGCAGTGCTGGCATTCCATGTGGGTGCCAGAAGTGGAGCAGCTGAGAATTGAACCGGCCTGGGAAAGCAGTGGAAGATGGCCCAGGTCTTTGGGCCCCTGCACCCATGTAGGAAACTTGGAGGAGGCTCCTGGCTTCTGGCTTCAGATTGGTGCAGCTCTGGCCTTGTGGCCAATTGGGGAGTGAACCAGCAGGTAGAAGAACCCTCTTTCTCTCTGCCTCTTCTTCTCTCTCTGTGTAACTCTGACTTTCAAATAAATAAATATTTTTTAAAGGAAAATATCTTATTTATAAATTAATGAAAATAAAGATCTTAGAAAGCAAATAGAAATTCAAAGAATTTGTCACCACTCATCCAGCCTTCCAAAAGATGCTTAAGGATATTCTACACACAGAAGCACAGAAAGAAAGTAATCATTATGAAGGAATGTGAAGGCAGACAAACTCCCACTAAAAGTACAAAGGAAGTTCAAACAAACAATAAGAATATTTGTAGGAAAATATCAGGGCCAAGTTGTTACTTATCAGTAATACCTTGAATATAAATGTCCTAAACTCTCCAAATAAAAGATACTGGCTAGCTGAATGGATTAAATATATGACCCATCTATTTGCTGCCTACAAGAAATGCATGTCAATGATACATATGGACTGAAAGTGAAAGGATGGAAAAAGATATTCCATGCTATTGTAAAGCAGAAACAAGCAGGTGTAGCCACTGTAATAACAGACAAAATAGGCTTTAACATGAGAGACTAAGAAGGGCATTATGTAATGATTAAGGTATCTCTTCAACTGAAAGATGTGACTATAATCAATGTATATGCACCCAATTACAGGGTTCTGGCTATTTGAAAGAAATGTTAATGGATCTAAAGGGAGACATGTACTCCAAAATAATAGTAATGGGGGACTTCACACCCCACTTTCATCAATGGAAAGATCAACCAGATAGAAAATCAACATGGAAACAACAGAGCTAATCAACACTGTGGACCAGATGGACCTAACTGATATCTACAGAACCTTTCATCCCACAGTTGAAGAACACACATTCTTTTCATCAGTACAAAGAATTTTCTCTAGGGTAGACCATATGTCAGGCCATAAAGACAAGTCTCATAAATTCAAAAAAATTGAAATTTTGCCAACATCTTTTCTGGTCACAAAGGAATGAAGCTGTAAATTAACAACTCAAGAATTTTGAACAAGAGCCTAGGGTGATTACTGATGCCATAAACAAGAGTGTCAATTTGTTAAGTCAACAACAGGAGTCACTGTGCACTTACTCCTCATGTAGGATCTCTGTCCTTAATGTGCTGTACATTGTGATTTAATGCTATAACTAGTACTCAAACAATATTTTTCACTTTGTGTTTCTATGTGGGTGCAAACTGATGAAATCTTTACTTAATATATGCTAAACTGATCTTCTGTATATAAAGAGAATTGAAAATGAATCTTGATGTGAATGGAAGGGGGGAGGGAGAGGGAAAAGGGAGGGTTGCGGGTGGGAGGGAAGTTATGGGCGGGGGGAGCCATTGTAATCCAAAAGCTGTACTTTGGAAATTTATATTCATTAAATAAAAGTTAAAAAAAAAAACAAGGTCACAGGATACAACATAAAAAAAAAGAATTTTGATAACATATGCAGACAGTGGAGACTGAACAACATTCTCCTGAATGAACAGTGGGTCATAGAAGAAATAAAAAAGGAAAACAAAATTCTGGAAACAAATGAAGGTGACAATATAACATATCAAAATTTATGGGACATGACAAAAGCAGTATTAAGAGGGAAGTTTATAGCAACTGGCACCTACATGAATAAATTGGAAAGGCACCAAATAAATGAGCTATCAGTGCATCTCAATAACCTAGGAAAACAACAACAAACGAAACCCCAAATTAGTAGGAGGAAAGAAAAAATTAGAGAAGAAATAAAAAATTGAAACAAAAAATACAAAAGATCAGTGAAATAAAGAGGTGGTTTTTTGAAAAAAATAAATAAAATTTTTACTCCATTGGCCCAACTAACAAAAAAAAAAGTAGAAGACCCAAATCAATAGAATCAGAGATGAAAAAGCAAATATAACAGTAGATACCACAGAAACAAAAAGAATCATCAGGAATTACTACAGACAGCTATATTCCAACAAACTGAACAATACAGAAGAAATGGGTAGATTCCAGGACACATACAGTCTACCAACATTGAGTCATGAAGACATAGAAAACCCTAGCAGATCAACAACAAAGATGGAGATTGAGTTAGTAATAAAGACCCTCCCAACAAAGAAAAGCCCAGGACCTTATGGCTTCACTGCTGAGTTGTACCAGATAATTCTTCTCAGACTATCCAAAACAATTGAAAGAGAGGGAATCCTCCCAAATATCTTTGAGGCCAGAATCACCTTAATTCCTGGACCAGGAAAAGATACAACAGACAAAAAGAACTGTAGACCAATATCCCTGGTGAACATAGATGCAAAAATTCTCAACAAAAAATAATGGAATCCAACAACACATCAGAAAGATCATTAATCCAAACCAAGTGGGATTTATTCCTGGTATGCAGGGATGGTTCTACCTTCACAAATCAATAAATGTCATATATCACAATAGCAAACTGAAGAATGAAACCATATGATTATTTCAATAGATGCAGATAAAGCATTTGATAAAGTACAACATCTTTCATGATGAAAACTTTAAGCAAATTGGGTATAGAAGGAACATTCCTCAACACAATCAAGCAATTTATGACAAACCCACGGGCAGTTACTTATTGAATGGTTAAAAGTTGGAAGTATTCCCACTGAGATCTGGAACAAGACAAGGATGCCAACTCTTGCCATTGCTATTCAATATAATACTGGAATTTTTGCGAGAGCCATTACGCAAGAAAAAGAAATCAAAGGGTTACAAATTGGAAAGGAGGACGTCAAACTATCCCTATTTGCAGATGACATGATTTT